GACCTGCACCCCCACCTAGCTGCCGTCAAGCCCTGACCTACAGTGTCCGCAGCTGAACAGCCTCTGGATCTCCCGATGCCTAGAATTAGCTGGGTGAGCAGCTCACATTTATTGTGCAAACTTGAGCACTTGTGTGGTCCAATCTATTTGACTTGATCATAAAAAGCACCAGTTCTTCAAATCTTGTAAGAAATCAACACGAAAGCAATTCGATGGAGGGCAGATCACCTTTTCAACAAGTGGCCCTGGAATAACTGAGCACCCACAGGCAGGGACGAACCTTGACCGAGACTAAGCCTGTACACCTGTGAGTGCAGAGCAGCGCACAGGGGCCAGTGCTGGTCTCAGCAGAGCAGGGAGCCGAGAGTGTCTGGAAACTGGATTCCTGAAAACAGCCACAGTGGCAAGACCACATAGGAGGGGGGACAGGAGAGAGGAGAAGCACCCAGGTGAGGCCAGACACGGAGACACGGGGAGGCTGCAAATCCCGCCGGCCAGTTTCCGGAGCTATGACTTCCTTCACCTCTGGGAGACGGGATTTGCTCATCTGTAAAATGGGCCCATTGTTTTGGGCATCACAGGCTGCTGTGAAAATCAGATGAGAGGGCGCACGGGGCACAGATTCACATAAAATACTTTCATGTGGCAGATGCCCAAGGACTGGTGGCTATAATAGTGGTTATTATTCTGCGAACTCTTGGATCTGAAAACAGTGGAATGGAAGGCAGCTATGAGTCAAAGAAATGCTCACGTGTGTGTTTCCTTCCGTACATTTTTCCCCAGAGTCTGAGGCATTGCTAAGCGTGTAACAGATACTTTTATTTGACAGATATAAAACTGACCTCTTGGCTCAAATTCTCCCACATTTGGAGTGAAGACCTAAAAATAGACCCCTTAACTGTTCTCTAATTGTTTCCACCAGCCTGAGGCTCGGCCCCCTGTCCAGAGCCCTGTAAGTTCCCTAGAGAAAAGCCCATTCATCCCTCAAATAGTGACTGAGCGCTTCCCATGGCCCAGCCCTCGGGCTGGATGCTGGGGCCCAATGGCCAGCAGGGAAGACGATCCTTCGGGCACTCGCCATGCACTAGGGGCAGATCAGACCCCAGACAAATAAACATATAATTACAGATGCGGTGTGTCACAGGAAGTGGGTCTCAACCCGACTTTTTCTTTGTTTATAGATATTCATATATATTTTTTATTGATTTCAGAGAGAGGAAGGGAGAGGGACAGAGAGAAACATCAATGATGAGAGAGCCATTGATCGGCTGCCTTCTGCCCGCCCCTGCTGAGGATGGAGCCCGCAACCTGGGCACGTGCCCTGACCGGGAATCGAACCTCGATATCCTGGATCGTACCCACCTGACTTTCGTATCAACATTCCCAACACATATCCCAGTTCAGAAAGAGTTTACCTCACAATTTCTTTCCAAGCCCGGCCGGGTGTGGCTCAGTGGTTGAGCGTTGACCTAGGATCCAGGCAATAGGGATTCGATTCCCGGTCAGGGCACATGCCCGGGTTGTGGGCTCAATCAATGACTCTCTCATCATGGATGTTTCTAGCTCCCTCTCCTTTCCTCTCTCTGAAATCAATAAAGGTATATTAAAAAAACAAAAAAAAAACAAAAAAATTTCTTTCCAAAATCTTTTTTTAGCCCCCCAGCACCCTTCACCTCTGGCAGCCACCAGTCTGTTCTCTATGTCTATGAGTCTGTTTTTATTTTGTTCGTTAGTTTATTTTGTTCATTAGATTCCACATATAAGTGAGATCATGGGCTACTTGTCTTTCTCTGTCTGGCTTATCTCACTTAGCTCAGTGCCCCCTAGGTCCATCCATGCTGTGGCAAATGGTAAGATCTTTTTGAGTCAAGAACATATAACTATTAACCAGAGTTCCTGATCCACAAAAGTCCCACCGTCACTCCACAGTAAATATCATCCTGAACAAAGGGGAGAAATCTGACCCTGATTAGGACTCACAGGCTGGATGGTGGGGAAGTGCAGTTTCCAGCAGGTTTTTCTTTCTGTTGTTTTGTGTGTGTGTGTGTGTGTGTGTGTTAAGAGTTTATAGACCTCTTGGCTACCTTCACAGATTAGTGGTTCTCAAGCTTGGCCATTCATAGAATTACCTGGAAGGCAGGTTAAACTGCAGAGTCCTGGCCACCCCCTTTGGCCAACTTGCTGAGTCGGGCCAGATTGGGGCCTGAGAATCTGCATTTTGTGCACGTTTCCTGGTGATGCTGAAGCTGCTGGTCCAGGGACTCTAATGTGAGAACTACCAGCCTAGACTAAAAGGCAGACCTTACACTTGAACAAAGTTAAAGTTAGAAGGAAGCTAACAGCTTACCTAGGCCAACCTGTCAGGTGGCAAGTTATCAATAACTTGAGCCCAGAGATGAGAACCCAGCCGCTCAAGGTCAAAACGGAACAAGTTAGGCAGGTTCCCTAACTCCCAGGTCACTGGCCTTTCAGTCGGCCTCCAGGCAAATCCACCTCCTGCTGAGCACCCACCGCTCCCCACCCCCATGGCCTTCTCATCAATTCCGAGGTAAACTCATGGTCAAAACACAGGGGTATGACATGCTACAATGTCATGGATTTACAAATAATAGCAAAAGCCCAAGAATCTGCTAGAGAAATAGTTAAATTACAATTTACCCACACAACAGAATATAAAATTATTTAAAGTGACAATATAAAAAAATGATAGGTTACATTCGTAATATAACTTTTATATGAAGATATAAAATGACATAATATGTATCATATATATAATCTTGACCAATGTTTAGAAACATAAAGAATTTAGTTTTAATACCAGAAAAAAATACACCTAAGTGTTAACAGTAATTATATCTGGATCATAGATTTCTGGTATTTTTTTTTTCTTCTTTTTTTAACCCTTTGTGTGTTCTTAAGTTTCAGTAAATACATATTACTTCTACAATAGCCTCCCCCATCCTTATTATTTTTTCCTAAAAGCAATTAGCTTTAAAGTACCATAATTTATCTGTATATCCAGATACTGAACCAAAAAGACAAAAGTGCCCTTTAAGCAGCGTATGAGCTGAGGTTAACTGCCTGGAATCTTCTGAAGGGATTAGCCATCCAGGGACCCTCTGCAAGGGCCGGGCTGGGGGTTCCACGGGCTGTGCTCAGCCGGCCCCAATGGCCAGTTGCCCCAAAAATGCCCCAAAAGCTTTCTTTCTAGGTCTGGAGCAGGACCCCCGAAGCATGCTGGACAGAGGAAAAAGGTGTGATGATTAAGAGAAAGGTCCCATCACCCACCTCATGCAGAAAGGGCCCACACCACAGCCTCTGGAAATGCCTACACCTGGAGGGACAGGGCGCAGGGGGCCTGCCCTCTCTAAGTTACAATCTATCTTCTCATTCCGAGCTTGTAACCTCTCATAACAAGCTCTACTTTGAGGTTGCCTCTGAACACTCTACAATCTCTATATAATTCAAATATTGAATCCACAAACTGGACACAGTTTTCTTTGAAAGGGGGTCTCTAATGTCAAGTAAAAGGGCAGTGTCAGAGTGAACATCCACAAGGCCGTAGTTCAGAAAATCGCTTACTAAATGAAAGAGTGAACAACTTCACATTAAGCACAGGCCTTTTTAGACAGGCTCTATGAAATTATAAACTCTCCTATAAAAAATGACAAGACAGCCCGGCTGGCACGGCTCAGCCTTAGGGCATCAACCCATGAACCAAGAGATGGCAGTTCAGTTCCCCATCAGGGCACCTGCCTGGGTTGCGGGCTCGATCCCCAGCAGGGGGCGTGCAGGAGGCAGCCGATCAATGACTCTCTCATCACTGATGTTTCTCTCTCTCCCTGTCCTTTCCCCTCTCTGAAATCAATAAAGATATATTTTTTTAATGACAAGACAAAAATTCAGATACTTAAAGTGTAGCTGCAAAGTACCCACCCAGGAAAAGATTACAGGTANTTTTAATAACAAGACAAAAATTCAGATATTTAAAGTGTAGCTGCAAAGTACCCACCCAGGAAAAGATTACAGGTATTAGTCCAACAGGTGATTTTCATTAACTAAAACCATTTTAAGTCACAAACGAACCACCTAAACCATCGGCAATAACAAGAAAGGCCAGGATGGAGTTTCGGCTTAACCTGAGCTTACTTCTAACTCCATAAAGGATGCTTGTTTTGGAAGGGGCAGCAGACCTCGTCTACCACTGTGCAGAATGGAAAATACCACATTTCACACTGCAAACTCTAAGTGAACCACATTTCAGAATGAAAAGACTTGTAGACACGTCTCCTCACCTGTGTTTCATTGAGTTGTTTCACATTTTAAACTTGGTGTTTGTTTCCCAGAAACAAACTTTTCTGGGAAAGCCCAAAAACCAGTACTCTGGAAACAAGGGGTTGGTCATCAAGAATTCTTCACACCTGCACAGAGATTTAAGCCATTCTAAGAAGATAGTTAGAGCCAACTATACTTTAATTAAAAAGAGCTTTACATTCCAGAATGAAAATTAAATGTAAAAAATAGAGGTGGGATTCTAACTGGCCTTCAAAACTTCCAGAAACTTTTTCCTACAAAGTGCTGCAAACCTGATGAAATTATCACATTTACATTCAACGAAGCTCGGAACCCTCCCAGACCTCCCCTCTCCACAACTCACGCCCAGCGGTCAAGGCACAAATCAGAATGGTCTCCCTGGGAATACGAGCTCCCATCCCAGTTAAGTGTACACACCTGCTGTTTCACAGGTCCTGAGAAGCCTTTCACGCTCGGAAGGAACACTTACCTTGATAATAGAAGCCTATTAAAGAAAAGTCTCAGTGTACAAACTAAGTAGCTCCTCCTCTCTTCCCCTGGTCCTCGGGACCAGGGATCAAAAGAAGGTTGACAGCAAAATGGCCCAGGGGCCTCAGTTCGTCCTGGCGCCTGGCAGCCACACACACACACTCCACACACATGTACACACACGTGTGCACATGCACACACTCCACACACTACACACATGCACATGCACTNCGCACACACACTCCACACACTACACACATGCACATGCACTCCACACACACACATACACACTCCACACATGCACACACACATGCACTNTGCACACACTCCACACACTACACACATGCACATGCACTCCACACACACACATACACACTCCACACATGCACACACACATGCACTCCATACACACATGCACGCACACATACACACTCCACACACATGCACATGCGCAGTCCACATGCACGCGTATGCATGCACACACTCCGCACACATGCACACTCCGCACACATGCACACATGCACGCACACACATGCACACACGCACACTCCACATGCACGCATGTGCATGCACACACTCCACACGCATGCACACACTCCACACACATGCACACACTCCGCACACATGCACACATGCACGCACACACTCCGCACACATGTCCACACACACACACACTCTCTCTCCTTGGACTTCAGAGAAGCAGCCTTTGTTTCAAGGCCCAAAACTGGGATCCGGTTACCAAGCCCCCGCCTCCCCTGAAGCGGCCTGTCCAAGTGAAGGAGCCCCTCAAAGACGGTCCGGGCAGTGCCCGGAGGGAGCCCCATTTTCTCCCGGGTCCCAAACGCTGGGAGACGTAGCTGCCACCTCCGACCCCAGCTTTTCTGAATGCACAGCCCAGAGACACCGCGTGCACGCGCGCCCTCGCCGCGCGTGGGGCCGCCGTCCTCAGCCTTCGTAGCTCTCACCCGCTGGGCACTGCTCCCCACTTGCCAAGCGCCCCCTCTCCCTCTCCCTCTCCCCCTCCCTCTCTCTCACACTCACACACACACACACACACACACACTCACACACACGCGCGCGCGCGCGAGGCAGCGGCGCCCAGGTCCCCAGGTGTCCTCAAGGCCGAACCCTGAAACTTGCGCGCCTCCCTCGCGGGTCCGGCCCGAGAGGTGCCCAGGTCCCGCGCGCCCCAGGCTCCGGGCGCCTGCGCCCAGCTTGCTGGGCAGAAGCGGGGTC